TTGATATCAATAACCACACTATTGGGATAATTCTAACCCCAATTCTAATGTCAATCTATGAACCCTTAGCAAGCAGACCTCGATCGAGATCGAGCAGCTCAATGCCCGCGTCATCGAGGCGGAGACCCGGCTGAAGACCGAGGTGACCCGCATCAAGAAGAAGCTGCAGATCCAGATCACCGAGCTGGAGATGTCCCTGGATGTGGCCAACAAGACCAACATCGATCTGCAGAAGGTGATCAAGAAGCAGTCGCTGCAGCTGACCGAACTGCAGGCCCACTACGAGGATGTCCAGCGCCAGCTGCAGGCCACTTTGGACCAGTACGCCGTCGCCCAGCGTCGTCTGGCCGGTCTGAATGGAGAGCTGGAGGAGGTCCGCTCCCACCTGGACAGCGCCAACCGTGCCAAGCGCACCGTGGAGCTCCAATACGAGGAGGCCGCCTCTCGCATCAACGAGCTGACCACCGTCAACGTCAACCTCGTCTCCATCAAGTCCAAGCTGGAGCAGGAGCTCTCTGTGGTGGCCTCCGACTACGAGGAGGTGTCCAAGGAGCTGCGCATCAGCGACGAGCGCTACCAGAAGGTGTCGGTGGAGCTCAAGCACGTCGTCGAGCAGGTGCATGAGGAGCAGGAGCGCATCGTTAAGCTGGAGACCATCAAGAAGTCCTTGGAAGTCGAAGTCAAGGTGGGTGTTTGTGTATTTCTTGGGATTTCACAAGGGAAAATATCAAGGGATTATCGTTATTATCAGTATTTTAGTTATCAGTGAATAATATTATCAGTCTATATAGTCAGAGATGGGATCAGATTTTAAGATAATAAGATATCTTTAGACAATAAGATAATATTTACAAGTCATCCGAAAAATCCATTGGGATTCTATACTGGCCCTCATAGTAAGATCAATGTTAAGATAATAACGTAACTCAAATTTAGAGGCGTCCGTTAATTTTGGATATAACAAGGGGTAGAGATCATGGGATCATCTTTATTATCAGGCGTAAAACAGAAACCTTTAACAATACTCGGGTTGATTGGAGGGGGCTCAGAGTTCTCTCATATTCAAGATCAAATTTAATATAATTAATTATTCAATGGTACTAGCTCCCATTATTTTGTGGCTTAAATTTCTTTGCAAAGATTACTGGCCCACTTCTTATTGATAATAATAGACAATGGTATCGTTACTCAAAGTTACAGTGTCTGTAAAACCATTTTTAAATATTATTAACGATTATAATACATAATCACCTAATCCTCATCCCAAATCCCTCCCCCAGAACTTGTCCATCCGCTTGGAGGAGGTCGAGCTGAACGCCGTCGCCGGCAGCAAGCGCATCATCAGCAAGCTGGAGGCCCGCATCCGCGATCTGGAGCTGGAGCTGGAGGAGGAGAAGCGCCGCCACGCCGAGACCATCAAGATCCTGCGCAAGAAGGAGCGCACCGTCAAGGAGGTCATCGTCCAGTGCGAGGAGGACCAGAAGAACATCATCCTGCTGCAGGATGCGCTGGACAAGTCCACTGCCAAGATCAACATCTACCGCCGCCAGCTGTCCGAGCAGGAGGGTGTTTCCCAGCAGACCACCACCCGTGTGCGCCGCTTCCAGCGCGAGCTGGAGGCTGCCGAGGACCGTGCCGATACGGCCGAGTCCAGCCTGAACATCATCCGCGCCAAGCACCGCACGTTCGTGACCACCTCGACGGTGCCCGGATCCCAGGTGTACATCCAGGAGACCACAAGGACGATCACCGAATAGAGCGCCACGCAACGCTCCGCACCGATATCATTTCATTATCAAACGCGAACCAAACCAAACCGAACGGAACCGAACCGAACAGAAGAACATCAGGTGGAGAGTTCAGAGTGCAGGAACAGAACGAGAATTGCGTGAGAAAGTTTTTATAATTTAAATTTTTTTGTCAATCCCCAACGCCGTGGCAGCGATCAAGAACCCAGTGGACTTCGGCGGGGGCTCGTATAGGCTACACACTATAAATACATAACACTACACATCCTATCTTTATAATAATAATACTATTTTGAAGTTCATGTAATTTAATTAAAATAATGAACCTGAAATACCTAAAAACAAAATAAAAACAAATCAACGAAAACTTGGCAGAGTTTTGCTAGCGATAGAGATATATACCACATACGATATACTTATGCGTAGAGAAGAGAGAGAACAAGAGAGTTGGCTGAACAATAACGTTTGATGGAGCCCATTTGAAAATTAATATAATACCAAAACACGAAATGGAAATGATAATCGTCACCAAGATCCCACTTAGCACGCCACCGCAGCATCGAGTTAACCGAGTTACAACCGCTTCTACTATTTGTTTTTAGTTCACTTTATGTTTAGTAGGTAAATTTCTGTGTGCTCGTAACGAATTTGAATTTTACATTAAATCAACATCAACAAAACTGAGCAAATTTCACATTTTTTACTTTGTATCTTGCAATAAAAATGAAATTCTATTCATAATAATAACAAATAAGAAATTATAAGTGAAGATCAATTTTACTAATGGGAAGTGAGCTGCTTAACAGGGATAACATGAGAAATTAGATTTCCAGATGGGATTAAAAGAGATGTCGGAAATGATTGTGTTCACTAAGTATGAGTAATGAGTATCTTTCTATGAAACAAGAATTCTTTTACCAATTCTTTATTTATACTATCAGGTTTTCGCATCAAAAACTCATGGCATAAACTCCATGAATAAAATTGGGTATTATTGTTCTTTCCACTTCAGCCCAAGCACTGGTTTCCCAACCTATAAAATGAATTTTCAACCGTGTATTTCGCTTTAAGCTATCACTATTTATTAACACTTTTGGAGCTATACAATCCAAGCTCTTAGATGGCAACCACACCCAATTTGGATTCCGTGTTCAGAACCGCCTTCTCGCCGTAAGCTCCGCCGTAGTGGCTCTTCTTGAAGACTGAAAAGTAGAGATAGAGGAAACAGTAAGTACGGGTTATATAAGGTGTTATAAAGTAATATTAATAATTGAATTGAATAGGGTGATGAATTTTTCATTTTGATGTTAGGAACCCAATGTAATCCGTTTATGACCCCCACAAGTGATTAGGTATTAACCCACCTGGATCGATCTCGGCCACGAAAGAGCGCGGTGGTAGGGCGGCGGCGTAGAGGTTCTCCAGAGGCTGTCCGACGGGCTTAACCAGAAGCGGCCTGCCCTGCTCCCATCCGTATTGGTTGAGGGCATTCCAGTCGGCACCGTTCAACTTGGCAGCGGAGGCAGCTGCTCCGGCGGCGTTGGTCAGGGCGGAGGCCTGGGCCTCGGCGGTCTCGGCTGCCTTGACCACATCTACGTAGCTGGGAGATCCGTATCCGGATCCACCGTATTGTGGCCGATTGGCAACGGTCAAAGCAACGCAGCAGGCCATCAGGCAGAGAAGGCGCAGAGTGGCGGACATTTTGGGTATTTGGCAGTGGTGCGAGGAACGGACCGTTTCGAAAACTAATTAACCAGAGCGTGTGTCCAAATTGCTTTTATAGCAACACCATTTGAGCTGCTCCGCGATTTGTGAGCTCACCAGACGTGACCAAACCAGCTCGATGACCAGTCACTTTCGGGGGGCCACCAGTGCCAGCATCTCCCAACCCCTCCGTCTCTCTCCCAGGGCGATAAGGCCCCGGGATCGTCTCCAATTTCTATGCTCATTGAAATTGCGCGCCAAATTGCGGTGGTGCAAGAGACCCCAAGAGCCCCGGGAACCCCGAGAAGCTGCTCCATTGATAGCAACTTCCCCCTGCTCGGCACGCTCCGTTCGCTTCTGGTGTGTGCGGTATCGGGGCTTTGGTTGTACTCCATTGCGATCCGGCCCATGCACGCATCGGAAATCGGGTCGAGTGGGGTTAAGCCAGTGATCAATGAACATGAACCGGAACCTGAAAGGGCCAAGTCGCTAGGCTGTACGAAATTCGTTCGTTAGCTGGATCAAAGATGGTTCTAAATGGGTTATAAGTCATGATCTCAGATCTTTATATCTGACTAGATCTGTTGGACTATGGTCCGACGCACTTAGACCTCTATGGGTCCATTGTGATACCGCATGATTCCGTGTACTTAATTAAATATAAAATACCACCCATATATCATTTCTTATTTAGCGTAAAATGAATTATAAAAATCTCAAATATTTACTCAGAATTATAGTTGGAGACAATATTTAGAAACGTTTCAATTTGAAGTAAATTAGAGGTTTTCAAAACATTTTTAGATTTAAGTATATATTTAAATATAGTTCAATAATAATAATTTGTATATTGTAAGTCTTTTAGTCTATCAAAATATTACATTATTTTGTTACAAGATAAGTAAAATATACTAACCATTACATTAATAAGTAAATTATAATATTTTTTTTGACTTCTGTGATTTCTAATAATAATACAATTAATTTGTAATTTATGTTGAACTTGCTTTGGAACTTGCTTTTTTCTTGATAAGCAATTTCCATAAAACTATGCTTCTTCAAAACTCCGCTACCCAGTGATCCAATTTTAATGCAAACTTTTCCCAAGAACTGTGCCGCACTCGGGCCAAGAATTCTTGCCGTGATTCACCGCTCGACTCGAATGTCAAGCGATGGCCAGCAGCATTGAAGCTCTTGGCCAAGAGTTCGGCCGCAAACAACTCAGCAGATGTGTTTGCTTACCAGCCAGAAAATCGAATCGGCGAACTCAACTGTGGCGCTTTCCAGCCACATGATAATTGACTGACTGGCACAATAGGTAATTGAATGTTTATGGTTCTTCCATTGGGGTGAGTGATTTGCGAGTGCAAATCCGGGGCAAGCAAATCCGGAGCACGTTTCCGCCGAGCCACTCAAACACATTCCCGATGGGAGCTGCAATCAAATGAATTTTTTACCCCAAACGCTCTGAACAGCTGCTGCAGCTGCCGAAAATTTGGTTTCTTTAGATATAAAAACTAATTCGCCCCAAAAAACAAGTCAAAAATATTATGATTTTCTTTCCTCTGGTTTATTATGTACACTGATCAGGCTGAGATCAAGTATCCGCCCGGTTGGCAGGCTCAAGATCAAGTATGCGCCTAGTAGCCGCTGCTGCGGGGTGCAGGTGCAGCGTACTGGCTGCCGTACTGGTTGCCATACTGGTTCTCGGGGATGAAGAGCTTGGCCACGGGAGCGGCGGGACGGATGGGCAGGATCACCTTGCTGTACTCCGGGGGCGAAACGTAGGCCTTGTAGTTGTTCTGGCCGGGATAGAGGAGCGTGGCTCCGGCGGGCTGGACGGTCCAGCGGGGTCCATAGCCAGCGCGACGGTAGTTTCCACCATTGCCGTATGCACGACGCTCTCCACCATATCCTCCGCTTATCTGGACGGGACGCAGGATCTCGGGGGCATAGCTGGCACGGGGTCCGGCAATAATCTCCACGGGGCGCTCATAGCCCCTCTGCTGACCCTGGCTTCCGGCAGCAGAGACCGAACTAGCAACCGACACAGCGGGGCTATCCTGACCATAGGAGCTTCGGGGTACGTAGCTCTGCTGGCCACCGTAGTTGGCATAACAGCTGCCAACGATGCAGGCGCAGAAGATGACTGCGAAAGTCTAGAAAATCAGGAATATTCCGCAATTAGCCTTGGTTCGAAAAAATGGATGTGGAAATGGAAACACTCTTCAGGGACACCATCAATACTTACAGCAAACTTGTTCATGGCTATGATGTATGGGTTTTGGCACAGTTGGCAGAATTAACATATTAAATGGCCAAGCACACTTCTTTATATAAGCAAAAATATTGTTGCACTCGAAACGTGATCTCGCCCAGAAATTTATCACGGCTCAAGAGCTGGCTTCGCCGTCTCTTCTCGGCCAGCATGTTGGGGAACTTTCTGTGGATTTCTAGCTTTTCCTAGCCAGATATCGGGGCTCCACGCTCAGCTCGCTTCGGATTGAGCAGGTTGCTCGTATCGCCGACATTCGGCGGTCGACCTTCGTTGGGGGTGGCAGATGCAGATGGTCCAACGGGAACCGAAAATAATGCTGGATTATGGGTGCGTGAGTAAACGCAGACGGTTTAGGGGGATAGCGGGTTGATCCAACGTGCCTTTAAATAATGTGGTATTGCTGTTTATAATTGATCTTAACTTAAGTATGTTATTTTTAAAAGCGCACTACCTTAAAAGATTAATAACTTTTAACGTTAACTAAGAAATGTAATTGATATTTACCGATATTTCTTAATAGTTTCCTTAAATATTGTTATACTATTTTAACGATATATAAAAAAATATTTAAAATTAGTTTACAGAACATTACAAAAAGAAACCATTACTTAGGCTCAAGTCACACCTTTTTTCAATAGTTGAATTGCCTGAGAGAGTGATCCATTTAATATTATAATTTCAGCCCGACTTCAAAGCTCAGCTCAGGTGTCTGGTATAATATTACCCCAACACAGTCTTTAGCCCCACTGCGCTAAAAAGTATGTCACAATAAAAAAGTCAATATGGATTTTGATTCGATATTTTCCATTGCGTTCAGGTTGTTTTTATTGGTCGATTCTCAGAGTTTCGCTGGGACAGCCACTCGAGACTTTGAGCAAGGGGTCGATAGTTAGATTCGGGATTTAGTATCCTACGGGTCCATAGCCACGTCCCAACTCGATGCCGCGTCCACCGTCGATCTCGTAGGAGGGAACGGCGTACTGGCGGTAGCTTCCGGGATTCACAGCAGCGGCGGCGGCGGCGGCGGCAGCGGCGGCCCTGCCACCATTACCCTCCGATACCAGGCTGCGAGGATAGCTGCCGTATCCACGGGGAGCGTAAGAGGGAACCTCCTCGTAGACGACTCGCGGAATACCACCATAGGCACCACCATATCCTCCTCGGTTGCCGTACACTGGGCTGGCGTTGATGTAGGCGAACAGGGCGAAGGTAACAAAGACGATCTAAGGATAGAATAAAGAAATCCCAAGGATTAGCTGGCTGCCACTTCCTTATGATGGGTTCCCACAACTTACCAGGTACTTCATGGTGAGTGCTTAGTTTTGTTGGTTTGGGGTAATCAATCAAACTATGATTTACCGACCAGAAAGCCCCGCTTTTATACACAAAAATTAGCCTGGATATTTACGTGACCTATATACACAAATTGCTCTGTTTCAGTCCAGAAGCCGTATTTCATAACTACCCCGGCTTGGAATATACTCACATTTGATTTATGTACTTCCATATACTCGTTGTCTGGTCATTATAACATCGCTTGGTTACGCCATGTGCCATTTAACCGGACTTGAGTTGAGTTTGGGTCTTGATAGTTCCACAAACACGCGACTCTCTCAATTGGGACCCACGAACGCGTCCATTTTAAATATTCTCCAAAATTTGTTGTAATGAAACTTCTGTTTTTCACGTTCTTGAGGGTAATGGCTTACAGGCCGGATGTGCCCGGAAAATTGTGCCTTGAATTCTTCTAGAACTGGTTTAAACCGGGTTTCCCTTAAAAATATTTTAACAGGTTTATTATAAACTGTTTTGGAAAAAAATTAAAACCTAGCCAACTAATTTTGAATACATTACAGTACATTAAGCCTACAAGTATAACCATTATCAGTTGTTATTATTTTAATATTCGTCTAAACTTAAGTGTACGTACTTTAATTAAAAATGTAGTCACTATATTTTAAGCGTTATATGGGTTCTATTAAAGTAGTTTTTCCACTTCAAGCTTAAAGCAAAACTTTCTTCAAGTCTACTGCCGACTTTTTCATTTAATTCGCAGACCAATAAATTTTTGCTGGCTCAAAGTATCATATGGCATTGCATAAAACTTAAGTCAGTGCCGATTCAACTAAGATTTGCAGAGCCAAGCTGTTGACCACAAGTTCAAGCCCCAGCAAGAATAAAAATACACTAAAAAATTTAAGTCTCGATGTTTGCCGTTTATTATTATTGCCTAGTTCCTTATTGGTAGGTAGGTTTCTGATTCACTGTTCATGATTTTGCGACTTAGTAGCTGGGCCTCTTGTAAGCCTTCTGGCCGGCAGCCACGGAACTGGCAGCAGCCGCTGCGGAACCTCCCCTGACCTTCTCGCTGCGTCCGTACTCCTGGGGTGCGTGGCTGACGGGTGGGTACACGGGCTGGACGTGACGGGGAGCCTCCTTCCAGAGCAGAGGACCTCCGGCACTGGGCGCGGCCAGGGCGAGCTTGGCCAGGGCAATGGCTTGGGCATCGACTGGCGGGGCACCACCATAGCCGGAGCCGGAGTAGGAAGGTCCAACATCAACGCCGCTATAGGCCGGGGCCAGGGGAGCCGCCTCGTAGGCACCTCCATATCCTCCCTGGGGTGCACCATATCCACCGCCGTACGAGGGAACGATGGCCTTAACGGTCAGAGCGGGCTGCACCTGGTAGGCATAGCCACCCACTGGGGCGCCACCGTATCCACCACGGGGACGTCCATAGGAGTTGGCCGACACAGCGGCAATGGCGCAGAGGCAGATGCACTAAGGAATCGAAGAAAAATATTAATTAGTTTTGAAGTTCTTCTTAATGATATTATTTGTCCAGGATAAAACGGAATGTTCTACACATTTCATAGAAATATTATTTGAAATAATAACTCACCATGAACTTCATCATTCTGAGGCTGAGTTGGTTAGTTGATCGTTGCGAAGGTAACTAATGTCTTATTCTGGCGCACTGTTTTGTTTTTATACCAGATCCAGGCAGACGCCAAACGCTTACGTGACGAATATGATGCAAGTTTTGGCTCTCGGGGTTCCCGTTCCCGGAGACGCAGCTCCAGGTCTCGGCTCTTTGTCCGGCAATCTGGAGACGCCGCCGGAGACGTGCAGCCAGGCACAAATCCACTCTGGCCAAAAAGCTGGCTCTCAATTCGGCCCCCGGTCCAGATAGCAGGCGTCTGTGCTTACGCCATCGTCTACCGGAGACGAGACCCCATTACGTAAGATTCCCAGAGCATGACTCTTCGTGCTCCATATCCACATAGTTTCGACCACCATTCGAGCCAATTTGCCCCACGGTGCCAAGAGCTTGACACCGATTTTCAGTGACACACTGAACCCAAGGCAATGGCCTGTACTTTCTGCTGCGTTGGTAGAATTTATATACAAAAGCAAAAAAAATTGAGATAAAATTACAATAAAATTATAAACACTTAACCGTTCGACTTTTCAAATTGCCGCGCTAAGCTTTTAATAATATTCAAGTGGCGCTACGCTACACAAATTGTGAATGGCTTATGGGCGGGCGCAAACGATTTATAATGAATAATGAATTATTTAGATGTGGGCCAGGCTCAGGGCCCCAGCAGCCAGAAGACGGATGAAAACGATCTTTCTCCGGATGCATTTTCTCTTTAAGATTGCTTTATTGGTCTTTAAGCTAGTTGCTTTGCTCTTAGGAATTAAGTAAAAATGTTATTATAAGACTGGGAAATGAAACTAGCAAACGACACGATAAATATTAAATAGTAACAGCATTCGCCATGTAATGCAAAAGTGAGTCGGCTGAAACCTCAAGCCAAGATTGACGGATCTGAACATCCATCACAAGTCCGATATAGCTAGCTTGTTGAACAAGATATTTAGCTGAGTCTAATCTAGATAAACGACACGTTTGGGCCAGGGCCCTCAGACTTTATAAGAGCCGAGCTGCCGAAGACCACCTCAGAAACACTGGCTCCAAACGCTTACAAAATGAGTAGTCTGTGCTGCAAGGTGAGATATGCTGATTATGGGTTCATCGCGATGGTTACATTAAGGTTTACATCTGTCTGCAGATCCTGAACTTGGCTGTGCTGCTGGTACTGGCTGCTGTGCAGATGGGAGCAGATCACTTGGACAGCGATGAATGCGGTTGCGGGCGGCGGGGTTAAGATGAGACATCAATAAACAAGCGAAGAGCAATGCATACAATTCGAACGGTTGTGGGTTCTGGGGTTAAACCTATCAGAAGACACGTACAGCTAGTCGCGAGCCAGCTGGGTGTCGCACATGGCCCGCAGCCGGGCGAGCAGCATGTGCAAATGCTTTAAGCAAGCTGTCGGCGATTGCTGGGCCCCTAGACCATGTTTCCCAGTCAAGGTTTCCATATACATGCGCTTGTACAGCTTTGACAACTGCTTGGGATCCTTGCCGGTCAGCGTGAGCTTCGTTAGCGTCTTCAGAGCGTTTTGCAAACGGCTCTCAAAAAGCGTCAAATGGCCGGCGAATTCGTCATCGGCCACTTGGCCACTGTTAGTATCGATGACGTGGGCAAATATGAGTTGACACTGTAAACAAATGTCCAAAGCCGCTTGCATTTGCTTGATCTTCTGAGCAGTGTGGGTGGAAACTGTGGGAAAATGGTGAAAATATAAATCTCAACAATTGGTAATTCTTATCTTTGCCAACTCACGTTCAGCCAAAAATTCGTGGAGGGAAATCCGCTCCAGCTGCACTGTCAGCAGGTCACCCACTTCCTTGAGACCCTCTAATATTTGCGTAGCCTTCTCGTAGTGATACTTGCAAAGTTGTAGAGTAGACTTGGGCAGCTGAGAAAAATCACAACAGCCGATTGAACGCAGCTGCGAGTAATGGAAGGAGGCAATCCTGGAAAACTCAAGAATTATTAATATGGATTGTTTTGAAGCCCATATCCTTATCCAACCTTTTGTGTATCAGTCCTGATCGAAAACTGTAGAGTACTTGGCGGGCTCCAGCGTGCTCCACATCGCAAAGTCGCAAAGATTTCTGAAGCAATTCCAGCACCTCCTTGGAGGCATCAACCAGGCTTGATTTGTCTGCTGCACTGTAGTCCTGAAGTTGTTTGGCTAACGTAAAAGTGGCAGTGGATAGTTCCCAGTGGACAAGGTCCCACAGTTCGGCATTCGCTTTACGAGTATCCAAGCAGTCTTTGGCCTTCTCGTAATAGTTGAATGCCTCGCTATAAAAGGCCTTTTGGCTGTCTAAGGTAATGGCGCTGAATAAAAAATATCCATATTAAGTACATAATAAAGGATGTGAATGCACTGTTTACCTTTCATTGGGCATGGTTAGATGGGCGCGCAGTCGCATAAACCGACCCATATTGCAATATAGAAAAGCCAGGTTAACATTATCTTCTACGGCAGTGAAGGCTTCTATGCCCCGACGCAGGCAATCGTAAGAATTGACTGTGAGTTTGACATACAGCGGTTCGGCAGGATCTGCACTTGGGCTGCCCTCTGCTTGGGCATCTCCAGCAATCTTGGAGTCATCCTTCTTCTTCATCAACTCGCTGTATTCCTCTGGAATAAACATTGAAGATTAATTTATTGATGTTTTTAACAGTGCAGTACGGCTTCCTACCTTGAGCCCAGTACATATACTTGAGTCCCAACTCGTTTCGCACATTTCCCAAACGTCGAAGTAGTTCATTGCTCTCTGCTTTCTGGGCATATTCCAATGCCTGTTCGTAGCACTTGCAGCTGTGCAGCATCACCTGCTCCAAGTTATTGGCGGGTGCCAAGGAGGGCAGTTCCTCCTCCTCTCCTTCCAACTCCTGGGCCAACTCTTCGCCAATAACGCCCATCGATGCATCCTGCTCCTCGTACTGCTGTACATACTCTTCAATGGCTGCCCAATGCTTTGACATCTGGAAGAGGCAGTCACCAGCCCGGCCTAGCAAACAACTGTGCTGAGAAACCACATTGGCCATGTACTTGTTGAGCACCTGTTGGCAACGGCAGGCCAGCTCGATAGAGCGCAACGTGGACCCATAGCTGCGGGATTCATAATAGTGCTCCGCTAGAGTTGCAAACGTCAAGCAGGCCTTCTCCAGCAGCAGAAGCTTTAAGTGTACGTTCCAGGAGCCAAAGTTCTGTGTGTTGAACTTGGCACTCATCTGCCGATTGCTGGCATTCGTGGACTTTGACTTGGCAGTGGTGGCAAGCTCCTTGGACTTGCTACGTTTGGCCTTGGAGTTCGGCTTTTTCACAACCTGCACCGGCTGCTGGCTAAGTTTAAGCTGCTCATAGGGCAGTGGGATGGCACTGAAAGGCTTGGCCATATTAGGATTCTGCTCCTCATGCAGAATGCGTTGCTTTTCTTCCTGTTTTGCGTTTGTTTCAGACTCCTTGAGCTTTTCCTCCTGACTTCCGTTGAAGTATTGCAGGCACGAGAGACCAGCACTGATGTGCTCCAAAGAGATGCTACACCGCTCAGCAGTTGTTGCTAAGAGTGGAGCCGGTTTGGCCTTCTTGGCGTGGGATTTAAAGTCTCTGAGAGCATCACAAATATGACGCACAGCCACATTGGCCCTGCCGCCGCCCTGCTCACTGCTTTGGTAGCTCTTCTCGCTTGAATAGTCCAGGATATCATCTTCGTAGTCCTCTTCGTCCTCTTCCTCATCGTCGTCATAGAGCGATTGATCGTCGGAGTCCACTTCCTCAAACTTGGGCGCCTTGGGATCTATGCCAGCGGGCACATGAAGATCCGAGAGTATATAGTGCGAGGAACTAACGATCTGGGGATATTGCTCCTTGGGCAGCAGCTTAATGCAGTTGTCTAGCAGGGCGCGAATGTTGCCCGCTGCTTTTGGACTGATGTGCGGCAGTGTGTTTTTCATGTTTCGAGCGACAGAATAGAGCAGCATTCCCACCGGGACGGTAAAGGGATTGACCTGCTGCTGGGGCGGATCACCTTCTGACTTCTCAGCTGCCTGACTCTGGCATAAAGTAGTAAGATCATACAGCTTGACTACGTCATCGTTGCGACCCTTAAACAGCCAGTAGGTGTGACCTGCCTTGGTTGCATTGGCCTTGAGAAAAGCCAAAATGTTCTGGGCCACGTTGCGAACCACCTGAGGCGAGAATTGTGAGTTTTCGAGGTATGGCAGGTCCTCAGTCTTGATGATCTCGTACTTCTGCACAATGCCGTCCAGATGATAGCACATCACCACCTCGGGCACATTGCACATGAGGTTGTCCAACCAATAATCGATACCAGTAAGCACGTTTATGGGCTGGGCAGCATCCCTCAAACGCAGGCTGATGCACGGTCTGTTGGGGCCTCCAAAAATTGGCATATCTGTGCCAATGAGCATGCGTATATCCTCAAAGGTCCAGACCACGTTCCTATTGAAGGCATGGCTGGACTTCGGATCCGGCACATTCTCCTCTATCTTGGGTTCTGGAAGAACTGGACCAGTGATGGGTAGTCCCTGTTGCCTGCTGGTCAACTGAGTGGGTGTAATTGGCGCATCGTAGTCCAACTCTTCGCCAGTCTGTTTGAGACTATGATAAAGAAACTTTGACAGCAGATTCTTGGTTTGCAGGGCCTCGCGGGAACGCTCCTTCAGGCAGTAGTTGTGCTGTGTATCGCCGTAGGTCAGGATGTGCTCCAGGATGAAGGATCTCAGCCACTTCCAGTCGTCGTCAGCCTTTCGCAGCAGATACTTCTGGATGTCGAACTCGTCCAGAAGCAGCGTGTTGCCCACCTTGTGCACCACCATGCTGATGGCGCTCTGGGCGCTGTAGGGCAGCTTCAGCAGCTGCTTAATGTTCTCGGCATCACTGACCACATCCACCTCGCCCACGCAGTCGGGAAACATCTGGCCCAGTCGAAAACTAGCGAATCCGGCACTCTGGTACAGGGCCTGATGCAATCCATGGCTGCTGTGCGAGGTGGTCAACCAGTTTAGGGGCGGAAGATTTAGGTTTGTGTTACACTCCAGCCGCTTAAAGTGGGCGGGCAGCTGCACGGGTGACAACTTGATCACCGCCTGGCTCTTCACCACGTCCAGTTCGTGTGGCCCGATGCTCCGGCATGGTTCAATCTGTGGAGAATCCAGAGTTACTTATGATATCTCCACAGGGCACCTTTTTACCTCTTCGTTCCTATCTTCCATGGTCGCGGAGGCTCATCGGTAAATTGCGGAATCTTAAAACCCGTGGAAAATTCAAGAAACTTCGAGCAGATGTGTTTTGTTTTGCCGGCACAGCTGCGAGCTGTAGGCGTTGCCCAACACTGGCCAATGTGGCACTGCCAACTTGTTTGCAATGTGGAGACATGGGAGTAGCAAAAACAATTTAAACCATTCTTAAAGGGGATAAATAGTAGTAGTTATAGTAATAGAGCCTATTTTACTTTAAATTGAAGCGAATATTATTAAAAAGTTTATATATAAACAGTTAATAAGACCCAGTGAGACTATAATAACGTACAAACCCCGCTGGGGAATTAAACCTTAATCCCTTCTACGCCACTGTCCACAATTAATCAGCTGACTTTCTCTCAGCCGTTTTCCAGCACTCAATTTGTTTTTTTATTATTGTTAACACGATTAACCACAGACTGGTAGCAAAATTCCCCAACTTGGTCACAAAACTGACTTAAATCAATGACGCTGTTTGCCCTCATCGCGCTGCTCAGCCTGCTGAACACAATCCTGCCAGACTTCATAAGGAACTACGTGAGTACCTTAAGAACGAGCCAAATCCGTTGCTAAAAGTTACCCTGAACCTCAGCTCAAGGTGTCACGATTGTGGGGCGCCAGGAACTCCGGGGAAGTACGGCAGTTGCAGACGGAGGTGGACGCCGCCCGCGAGGAACTGGAGGTGGTGCGCAATGCGGAGCACTCGGGGGAGTACGCTAGGACTATTAAAATCATGCGCGCCGAGCGCAAAGTGACGGAGGCGGAGGCCAAACTGAAGTCCGCCCGCGGAGTGGAGAACCTAATGCGGATGGGCATCGACACCGCCGTGTTCTACGGCTCCAAGGTGCTGCTCTCGCTGATCACAGTCATAGTCAGCATCCGGAATCGTGGCACTCCCGTGATGATCATCGACGAGGGCATTAGCCTGGCCCCTTTCACAGGCCTGCTCAGCTTTCCCACCGGCGTGGCCAATGCTATTTCTGTGCCCGCCTGGGCCTTCTCCTGTAACCTGACATTCCGCCTCATCTATGGTCTGGTGAAAAACCGCCGGGCGTGATTCAATCTGGACGTAATCCCTCCATTTAGTTTAGCTGTTAGAAGGCGCTCGAAACTATGTACTTTGTTATGGTTTGCTAGGCTTCATCACACGCATTAACATTCTAATGTAAAGGCCCAATTTTTTGTAAACTACGTAAACACATGATATATATGTATTTTCACAAAAGTGTGTTTTTAAATTGCGCGGCTTAGAAAGACTTTCTAGCACTGCTCTTTGAAACAGTGTTGTAAAGCGCTCGGCGTACATGAATGCGTGTCATTTTCCCCCGTCCGGATTGTTTGGTGTTTTTGTTAGCCGAAAATGGACAAACTAAATGAGAATGCCCGGGAGCGGAAGCAAATTAAGCTGGGCGAGATCGACACGGGTCCCATATTGGTGGCCCTATTGCTGGGCTTCATTGCAGTGGGTGAGTACGCCACGTGGTGGTATTGGCCTTTTGTCCCCGGGAGTCTCACCTGAAACCTGAAATCCCTCTTCACCCGTAGCCATCTTTGTGATCCTGCGAAGACGCTCAACCGGCCGCAAGGACTTCCTGCTCACCGGCCTCAGTGAATCCGGCAAGAGTGCCATCTTCATGCAGCTGCTCCATGGCAAGTTCCCGGTCACTTTTACATCAATCAAGGAGAATGTGGGTGACTACCAGGTGGGCAACTCATCCGTCAGGCTGGTGGACATTCCCGGACACTACAGGGTGCGCGACAAGTGCTTGGAGCTATACAAACATCGTGCCAAGGGCATAGTCTTTGTGGTGGACTCGGTTACGGCTCAAAAAGACATCCGTGATGTGGCTGAGTAAGTTTTAAGGGCTTAACTCACCTGGATCCCATGTTAATCCCCTTTTTTTTCTAGTTTCCTCTACACTATTCTATCAGACAGTGCCACCCAGCCCTGCTCCGTGTTGGTCCTTTGCAACAAACAGGATCTAACCACCGCCAAGAGCGCCCAAGTCATCAAAACCCTGCTGGAAAAGGAACTTCACACAGTGCGCGATACCAGGAGCCGTAAACTGCAATCCGTGGGCGACGACGATGCCAACAAACCCATCACATTGGGCAAGCTTGGTCGCGATTTCGAATTCTCACACATCGCACAGAATATCCAGTTTGTGGAGGCCTCCGCCAAGGATCATGAACTGAATCCCCTCACCGATTGGCTGGCTCGACTGCTGTGAAGAGGGTACAAAGTCCTCAGACTGGGAAAACATTGAAATGCTAAATGAACGAATGCGGAACACAAGACAACATATTGATATTTATTTTACCGCTTAAAAACCTCCATATCGTATATATGCCATGCCTATATATCGCTGTTAGAGTATAAATCCGTGCATTGTTATATACCCTTTAACCATTTGCTTCCTTCCATTGTTCCCGCTTAATTTTAGCTTATGGAAATTTTTATACTTTTTAGCGTTAATTTGTCGGTAGGTATTTGAATAAGAATCATGTATCGAACGATTTATAAAAAACATCGGAGCAAGAAGTGTGCATTTATAATCCCTGATACTGATTTTACAGGCTCAGTGAAGGCTTAAAAAATAAAAAATACGGGTTATCAAGAAAATTATGGTTTTAAATGATTTGTAATACAAAAAAAGAATGTCTTATTAAAACCTAAAACGAAGTAGCCTACTTTGGCAAGATCGTTATTTTTATCAGATGTAATAGATTGATTTATTCACAAAATGGAGAAAGTAAATGCATATGGCTTATCTGTTTCAAGTACATACCGCCAACAATCAAATTCAAATTTGAATCTTAGATGAGATCACGATAATCTTATCGATATCTCGTAGTCGATATTAAGAGATGGTTAGTTCCATTTTCAAATGAAATATTGAAGTGGCGCCACAATCTTGTAATGTAAAAATAATTATTATGTAAAATGATCTTGCTAGCAAAGATCTTACATTCAATTTTGTATTTTAATACTGAGACTTTTTTAAAATATTTGTTGCTTTAAACTCCATAACTTAAAAATCATTGGAAATAAGTAGTTATCGCTAATATTTTCCGGTTTTTTTGACATTCGGCATTTAATTACTTGAACAGCGTTTGTAGCAAAAGATTTTTTGAAAAGTCCTGTAGAAAATGAGCGTTTAATATATATTTTTGTTTGCGGCGAACAAATTTTTACATAAATAGTTAAATTAAATTTCGTAAGTTAGAGCTCTTTAAAATTAGTTCAACTTGGTTTAGTTTAAAATCAGCAGCTACAGCTCTCGTCTTTCAAGTTTGCATGTCAACAGCTGTATTTTATGTGATGATCACAGTCGAAGACGATATTCTGGAAAAGGTATTTAGACAGCTGGTGGAACTCGTGTTTGTTTTAGATTTATACGAACTCAGCCCGCCCTCAACTACTTGGCTGTTGCCATCCAGTTCCAGGCAACGTCGTGTTTTTGGCCAACTGTCCCAGAAACGGGGATTATCATTAGATCGCTGAGCAAACGTTTGGCGCATGCGCAAGCTTTCAAACCTTTTTCGCGATTTGAGACCTTTGGCGTACCAGGTGAAGCAGCTGTCGATGAGCTTGGGCAGTCCATCAATCCATCGATCCGCTCCGCCGGCCGAAGATCAAAAAGCCGCCTCGAAAATCAATGAGCTCGCCTGCCCTCGGCTCCTCTGACTAGATAGAGTTTCTAGGCTGGCTAATTTCTAAGAATCGGGAGCTTTTATGATTTGCCGAATTTTTTGGGGAAGTGAGCTGGGCGGATGTCCCTGGCCGCGATCCTGGTCCCCATCCTCAACCTCATCCTCTGCTGGCAGCTGCCATCGAGGTTGGAAGTGGTCGTGGTCAACTGGCCAGCTTCGTTGGTGGCATTCGCAGCGGATTGATGATGGACAAAGCTGCGAATTTCGGGGAAAAGTGCGATTAAAACAAAGGCGGGCATTATGAGTGCTCAATGGGCTTGCCTAATCTGGAGAATGTGACTGGGTTTAACCCTGGATTGTGAATGTTCCCCACTTCCTCCTTGGGATTTTCTTTACTATGCTGAAATCATTCGAAGCTTAGGATTCCGAAGAATTGTTGTGAGTAAGAAATATAAAGACATAATACTACTTACAAAGCTACGGGGGTCACCGAGATAAGAACTTCTGAAGAAACATTTTTTAATTTGGTATAAAAACAGGATACATAATGGTTTTTAAATTAAAGGTAAATATTATTATAATAATATTTTTCTTCTGCCAAATAAACTGGCTCCTAATTTCCTTGGCTTTATACTGTAAATTTGTATAGTGAGAAATTTATATAATAGAAGGACCTAATTTAGAAGTACCTTAAAATTAATGTCATAAAGTGTAATGGCAATGCATTTAAAAGTAATCAATTGCAGTTCTAATTGATTTTCCTTAGGTTTAGTTATATACCATCATCTATTTGTTAGAAACCCCAGTATTGAATTAAGACTTTCGTAGTTTTAAGACTCTTCATAACTTCTCTCCTCCTCCAACTGACTCCTCCACTTCCTGTCCAGACGCCTGGTCCCAAAAATCTGACTCTGATTCGGTGTCATGTGCATTGAAGCACGTGCTACACCCGAAAAAAGAACAGGAGGCGCAAAAAAGTGTACGAGAAATGCAAAGTGCAGCCAGAGCCAGACTTTTTACAGCTGTGGACGACAGGCTGCAGGGAGTCGGAGGGAACCATATGTTGCAGACACGCTTTAGCCAAGCGGAAGGAGTGCCCCTCCGATCCTTAAGAGAAATGCCGGGGCGTACACAGTAGCTGCAAATTATTCACGACTGATTAGGCAGAAAAACGCAACAGGCAAGTCGCAAAAAATACATACGATATCCTCGAACGGATCCGATTACCACAAATTCAGAAATCTTTTTTGGGCCAGAGGTGAGGCAGAATTCACTGGAAGGCAGACAGACATTTTTGAGGTTAGACGGGGCGGTATATTGAATTACGATCGCATCGCCGACCGTTAGTTGACCAAAAAAAAAAATGTGCAAAAAATAAATGAAGTTGAACTTGACTGGGCAATAAATCTGCGATTTTTAGAAAGTCTTTATGCGATTTATGGGCGGGCACACGCCTCCCCCTCCCAGTACAGTCTGATATTTTAATAACCCCGCTCGCCATTACCTCGTGGGGCGCAATAAAGTGGGGTGGGCAGGTCCAATGGGGTTTACCTATAGGTATATGTACCTCGGAAGATGCAGCAGGCGCCCATTAAATTTTTATGTACACAGGCGCGACGTTTTGTGGGTTTTCACGGGCTGCCAGAACTGCTCGAGAAGAGAGAGTGCGAAGTGGCCGCTCGCCGGCCACATATGCAATTTATTTTAACACATCGTTAAAGCTCAAAAAATAAATCTTGACGCGCCGGACACTGCAATTATCACCTCTGCATAATCAGCACTGCCGGACAACTGGACAACCGGACAGGTGGACAGGGGGACATATGGACAGCCAGCCGAGTCAACGAGGTGAGCACATCGAACAAGGAGAGCAACGCATGCCCCCGGGTGGGGCAGCTCCTCCGACAGCTGGTTGCAGCCCGGTTAGCTTTCATTTTTTCGGTAACAGGAGCAGCCTCGATGTACTGAGAGAAAACCGCTCGAAAACGCGTTAGATATTACCTGATTTATATAGAATCCTTATCAATCTTGAGTATATAATAAGTTGTATACGAACATAGGGTTGAGAAATAGAATAGTTTGTTGAGAAATATAAGAGAGATACACGAATTTCATAGATGCTACAAAACCTTAGGGACCTATAGAATATATATTTTTATTATAATATAATAATTCTATAACCTATTCTAAATTCTATTGAAAGAACAATTTCTGAGAACAAACTATGGATTGTTTCTGATGATTGAAATAACATTTTTGACGTGAAAATTACTATAATACTTGATTATATTATGATCAGGCGTAAAAACATTACAAGCTATAGGGAGTTGTGGATATTTTATTTCCTTTATCTTAGTTATACACATTCGATTTATAAACTTTCAAATTGGGAAGTTCGTTGAGGAAGATCTCCTGCATAAATTAGGATGTACTAAAGTTCCAACTCTTTTCCTAATTCCCCTGTTCCCAATTATATTTTCTCTCTGTGTGGTGCATCCGTCCAGCCCACGCGGCCCAACTCTTTGGCAGCAGCATAATGGCAGCCCATTTAGCACCTTGTTGACGCGGCATCTAATTAAATGGTGCGAGACAAGAGGACCTGCCCAACGAAACCAAAGCCAGCCCATCTTTGGAATCGGGTTCGGGTTGCCGGATGGGATGGAATGGGTAAGGGTCTGGGTCTGGGTCTGGGTTCCCTTTCAGCTAATATCGAGTGCAATTTCCATGTAATGCCAAATTGTTGCGCCTTGTTGTTTGGGCTATCACGATGCCGTGAATGTGGATGTGGATGTTGCCGATGATGATGATGATGGTGATAATGGCGGACACTTGACGCTCGGAGTTGGCTGTCATCACCGAGAATTGGCTGGCTCTGGGCAATCGCTTTCAACAACTGCAGCACTTTCTCACCACACCTCTGGCATTGAGGCATTGATGATTATTTTTGATTTCTGTGCATACATTTCTTGATTAATTATAATGCCCACCGATCCGAAGGGGACCCACCAGCGGCAGCTGCGAAATCAGCATGGCAAATTGGAGCTTTTGCCGTGGCATAAACGTTTTTTCTCATGACACGACGCCGGGACTCATGGATAATTATGGGTTTACTGACTCACCCATTCCCCCGGGTTTCAAGCTTCAAGCTCAAAACTCCAGATTCAGATTCAGTTTTAGTTTCAGGTTCGGATTCAGTGCGTGCAGCCAGTAGCCGATGGAATCTGTGGGGCAAATTGTTTGCATTGCCCCTGTGTGTACATATCCATTCCGTAAGCCTGGGATCCCAGCTCTTGGGAGCTCTTCGTGTCAATTGCACATCACGCGCTGTTTCATTAAGTTTATTTTTAAAGGAAATTATTTTTAAACGCAATAATTTGTTGCGCCGGCGTTTGGGGTGCTACCAAAATGAACGTGGTTAAAGGAATTTCTGTTCTGCCCCCCATACTTTGTGCGCGATGGGGGACTGTCCAGTGCGGTAAATTTAGACATTTCAAGGTTGGTATTATCCGCAATGAAAAAGAAAGTTGCTGCAGCTGGATAATTGCTACTTTTGGCAGGGAACCAGAATTTCTGAAAGCTTAGGGGTGAACCCTGCACGCCAGAGTAATTGATTTCTGGCCTATATACCAAATAATTGCGTAAAGGATTATTCAGAAAAATGTATCCAATATGACTTCCAAAAATACTTATAATATATGATAGTGATAGTGATAGTCTGCCATTTAATTATTCTCCCGACTCAACATCATCGAAAGTGGCCGACCACATTCTACGAGACAAGTGTTGGCCATAAACAAGTGCGGCCTCCATCATCTAAATGCAAATGCGCAAAAAATTCACTTAAACGCGAAGGACGGACTTCCAAAGGGGGTGGTGAGGTGGTTCTGGGCCAAAACTGAGCTTATGGCATGGACTCAGCGTTGCGGCACGCTACTGCTATCAAAGTATTTTGCCTTTGGCAAATTAATC